GCGTTTTTGCTCTAGTTTTCGGACAATGAATTAGTAAACAGATAAACCGATCCGGCACAAAAGTACAAAATAACGGTGTCAATGATTAAAATAAATATGGGAAAATGAGCATAATTTCGGAATGCAAATTGATGTTCCGTAAATAAAGGCAACAGTAGTATAACGCTGTTCAATAGTCAAAAACACGTAATTTACACCATGGAATTCTATACTTTATATGTATAAACTGTATTTAAAAGAATGTATATTTTATTACCTATAATAGTCGATTACTTTTTACTGAGCTTTTTCCCTGGAAATTCAGTAACTAATAACAGGGACACTCGGACTAACGCTGCAATCCGAGTAAATTGTTAAAACAGCAGATATGCAACAAAAGTTATTTACTTTCGAAAAAAAAAAGAAAAAAAAAAAGAAAGTATAAGCAAAAAATCCGTACTCAAAGGTAAATTTCAAAAGAGGTAAGTCCGTAAAACATGACAAAATCAAACGTTAGACTATATTAACCAACGGAACGAAAGGAACACAACTGTCACATATCTGACTTTGTTCAGGCATTTTCCCAAGAAAATGTTGGATTAAACCTGGTTTTAAAGCTAGCTTAATCTCTCACTTTGGAAATGTACACTAGTCTTGGTTTTTTACCATTTTATATTTATAATATCAAGCGATAGTGGATGCTAAGTTATGATACTTGCGGTTCAGTAATGGCTCTAAATTTTCTGGAATGATGCATTTTTGTTGATGAAATTTGTTTTGCTTGGGGGGGGGGGGGGGGGTGATGTATCTTTCATGCCTTTACGGTTTATGGTTCATATTGACATGAAATGTCAACTGAAATTTTATTCGTTATGTTGTATAAGAAATCATGTTTTGATTGAGAGATGTCTTTTAAAGGTGATTGTGTTAGTTGCGCCTCATTATTATTTTGTTTTGATATCAAGTTTGTTTTTGTATATCATTTCTGATGGATACATTTTCTTTCTTTCAGCGTCAATACATTTTTTTCCTATTAGTATTACAGAAAATGATGTTCTACTACAAGTTTGTTGGTATTTTTATTAGTTTGATTTTGTGTTCACAACCCTCTTCTTATATGTGACACAAATCAGCACCAGCTATCGAAGTGATTTAATAGAGAATGTACATTACTAGATTACCTTCAATATGACACGAATTACCATACAGCTATTCTTGCTAATGGTAGTCCATTAAGCTGTAGATACGAGGTTGCGTCACGTCTGATATGAGGTGTTAAATTAAAAGAAAAATATGACACTGTATAAGTTTCTCAGAATTTACCTTTATCAGAAACACTCAAACCTAAACATTTGAAAACTAGCGATGTTTAAAACATAAAAACGTTAGGAGATAATTACATGTGTGTATGTCTGACTCTGGACGCTGTAGAGTACTTGTGACTACTCTTACTTGGAGTCTTTTGCGAGATTTAAAAACACAACAACGTCCGATTAGAGACGTTAACTTTTAATGATACCGTGTTTCAATTCTTAAATATGTGCCTGGTCGAAGCCGGGATAGTATACTCGAATTTACTATCCCTGTTTACACTTATTACAAATATACAACAAAAATAGACACGCATGCGCCGAATTGTAAACAGCTTTTATATAAGCAAATGCATGAATAATCCGTATGACGCATTGAAGCTCCTCCTGTATCTTGCTTTCCTTTAAAAATAAAAAGGTTCTAGTTTCCTCCTCGATCCATGTCAGACCGGGTTTATTTGGTGTTGTTTCCTACAACAGATTCCGATATGAGTACTTAATCCACGATCTGGTTTCTCTGATTTCAGCAGACAGCAACAAACGTGACATGTCTCGATTTAAGACAGTTGGAAAACAAATCAAATACGAAGTTAAAGAGTATGAAAACCGAAAATTCCGAAAAGTTGTACCAAAAAAGACATTTTTTTTTTTAAATAATTCAACAAATTTATTAAGGATGTTCGCTCCTCTTGTTTTTGAATTTTTGCCAGATATTCGGAATCCTCTGGTTTTATCCATGTAGTGTCATTAAAATATTTTCCCTGCTAACCCCTACTTTTCTTTTTATAATTTTATTACTAATAGTTCAAAAAGCCATATTTGAAAATCCCATAAAATCCTTGTTATTTTTCATAATTTTTGAAAGAAAAAGGGTGCCAATGTTAAATGTAAGAAAAGTCTAGAGAGAATTATTTCCCGCTTAATTTTCAATGGCTTATATCTCTAAAACAAGCACACGTACCCTACAGTTTTTTCTGCTTTTTCGGTTTCTTTATTTATATACTATCAATTTGTAATAGTCTTTTAAAAAGCTTATTATTTTGAAAAAGAGCAGCGAACATCCTTAACAGTAAATTACAGAAACCGAACATATCAATTATATTTCATGTAAACGAAAAAGTGTTGAGCACTGCGCTAGTGGCAGAATTTCAAAGTCAATTCCAATCAATAACTTAAAAAAATGCCTATACCAAGTCAAGAATATGACAATTGTTTGTCATTCATTCTGTTGGTTGACAAAATACCCCCTTGAACGCCTTATGTATACTGATGTCTCATTATACATGTTGTTTACAAATGCACTTTTCAATAGGAACAAAGCTTCTATATGTATTGATTTTATAACGCTTCTTACACTTCATCTTAAATTCTATAAGAATACATTGTTCTATTGAAAAAAACAAATAATAAACTGATGCTTTTGTGCTCTGATAAATTGAATGCAAAGAACATTTTTCTTTAGGAAACGCTTTATTTCAATGATACTTAAACTAAGTGTAAGTAAATTAAGGAGACGATATATTACCGATGTTCAAGACTCGCAAGTCGATTATGAAGAGAGAAATCAAGGTGACAAAAAGAAACAGAGGGAATTGGATAAACTCTAAAAAGGAAGGAGACCGGATGCATTGTTAGAGTTAGAGTCTCCTGCTATGAATGCTAAACCCGCCATGCGAATTCACACTCATTTAATATGTCACAATTGAGAATTGGACACAATCGGTAAAGTTACATATCAGACGACTTTACTAGTATCTATAGATCTAAGATCCAGAAAACATGTCGCTAGTGAGTTGACACAGACACATCGATATGGTGATTCAATTTGTGACCGTAAAACTTATGTAGGGTCGATATCAGTCTCTCTTCCTCATAACTTATTGGAGCAGTTTTCGTGCAAGGAAAGCACTACTGTTAATGAAGTCCGTATAGTGCAAACATGCGTGAGTTAGTATTAGTTGAGATATGTAAAGACCATACAATGGAACAGAAAGTATGTTAGAAAGTTGCAATCATCTCGTTTGTCATAGATTCTAGATTGAAGTCGTCCATCTGTGTCAATATCGAGGAAAAAATGAAGATATAAGAAGACCTTATACTTTCAGTAGTATCCTTTATCTCAAATTCTTTAGAAAATATGAGATGTATAACTTTGGACCTACTTGTATTTAAATCACCGTACAACTAACTGAACTGAAGAAAAAACCCCACTTGTGCCCACTAGAGAGCGGTTAAAAATCTGCTCGGTCAACAGAGATAACAAATGTTATCATGACAAACCCATTTAAAAAAATTCACATACTGTATATAAGAGTTATCATGATAAGAGATCCTGACGTACGAAATGAGAAACTTAATGAACATTTGGATGCCTTTGGTCGTGAACAATGTAAGGTAGTTAAATTGTATAAAATGTCAGACAAAAAATAATCAAGACACTTTCGAAAGACATGTTTTTTGTTTGATTGAAAAGCAATTTTTTGTGTATAAACTAAAAAAATAAACTCTGTTTACCTCACAGATTGATAAAATGAATTGAAGAGTTGATGATTATTTTTGGAAGTCGATCGGTTGCTTCGATAAAAATGTATTTAGGTTTCAAAAGAAAGTACCTTTATACTATCCCATTGTAAGTAGGATATATAATTGTATATGTCGATATTCTAAATTAAATATCGTTTCTGAAACATAATAAAATGTTGATCTATTAATAAATCTTATTATTTTTTTGTGTTGTTTGGTTTCTTTTGCATTGAAGTGTATCCAACATTTCTTTATATACATACTTTAAAGTAACAAATTCATCGGTTTTGAAAATAAGATCCTTCCAGACGATGAAAATTATACTTTATAAATTTGGTGCGACTGCGATGCTTTTCTCAGTTTATCTTTATGAGGAACGTTCAAATAATAAATAATAAAAAACAAGAATATATAAATACTCGAATATATTGATATTTCCCGTATATATTCTCGGATATACTAGTTTTCTTGATACTAACCATTATAACTCATAAACTAGTATTACTATCAAATCTTTACTGTGGGGAGACGGTATGATAGAGCCACTGTTTGGGCCCCTACATTCAAAATTTAACAAAGCACTTGAAATATATATATATATATAAACATCCTTTGTATGTTCACAGCTTTGTTAATAAGATAAAAATTAAGATTTGCAAAAGAGCCTCACTTTAAGATATTGTCATTAACACTATAACATGAGCAACAACCTTACCGGAAATAATATCTAACTAAAAATTGTCATTTTGTTTTCATCGTTTAAGGCCGTATGATGACATATAGTTTCTGACATCTACGTAATTTGGTCTCTGGTGGATAGTTATTTCATTAGCGATCATACTTAATCTTCTTATTTTTATATTATACAAAAATGTTGATGGGGTTAAGGCTTTTGCTCATATTTAATTTTACAAAATAAACCGGTTTTTATAACAAAGTTGCCATAATTTTGACATGTATATGACATTCAATATGACATGCCTGTAATAAAGTTACCAGACTTGATCAACTTATTCATTTTGCAATCAAATTATAATTTTGAAAAGATTACATAATTTTCACTTATTTTGCAATCACAATTGCATGCCAAATAATGGCTCTTATCCCACATCAAAGACAAGTAATTAATATGTAGACGAAATGGTATCAAGTAGTACAAGTTGATAGTTCAAACCCATCACAGAAAAAAGAACGTTTGATTATCGTCAGAACTGTAGGGCTTGTCCTCCAGGTAGGTTCACTTTTCTTCTTTCTCTTGATGCTACTAATATCTTTGTATGCATTAATATAATGTTTCTATACATTATAATTTGGTTATGAAAATAAAGATGCTATTGTCACAACTTAAAAATTATGGGAAATATTAAGCTGGCCCTACAATGTGACCTCGGCAGTTAGATTGGAAGCTAGTAGCATAATCTGCTACTTGTATTTTTTTCTGCATATAATACTGGTTCAAAAATAAAGGCCGAGCTAATACAATTGTTCAGTGATCAATTACTAACATTTTCTTCGAAAAATGTCTGTACCAAGTCAAGAACATGACAGTTATTTCCAGTTTCTTCCGTTGGTAAATATAGTCTAACGTTTGATTTTGTGAGGTTTTATGGAATTCCCACCTCTTTTAATTCACCTTTGAGTTAGGTATTTTTGTTAATACTTAGCCACATTAAGTTTAAATTGACACTTGCCACACTCATTAGTTTACATCAACAAAAATTACATTACAAGTCAAATAAAATAAAATAATAAAAATAATAAATAAATAGAATGCCAAATTCAACCAATTTAAACAGACTTTGCTCAAGTGTTTTCCTATTTAGGCTATATAAACTATAGCTTTCGTTAATCGAGTAATGCCTTCGTAATCGGCTTTAACTAGGTTTGTTAAACATTACATGATGCATAGAGAAGTAGATGGGGGTACCTTTTAGATCAGCTACTAGTATCTGTTGTCTGTTATAAAGAATGATAATGTTACTTACCATGCCTACACATCAAACTTTAAATTTTCAAGTTTATACCCATAAACGTTCAATGAATACTGGTCATTCCAAAGATCATATTATTATAAATCAAATAGTTACTCTTTTTAGGTCATTTTTTTAGTAACAACAAACAAAAAACTATGTCAATTGGACCTGCTTTGGTACTATAACTGCCCTTGAATTTTTACTAGATAACATTTTTGTTCGCTATGGATATTCCGTATATCGTCAGGTTATCGGAATTCCCATGGGGACTAACTGTGCACCACTTATTGCGGACTTGTTTCTGTATTGTTATGAGTTACAATTTATGACTAAAATCAATAAAGACCCATCGAAACAACATCTGATTCAAAAATTTAATAACACTTTTAGATATTTAGATGATATATTGGCTCTCAATAATGACGACTTCAGTATGAACACTAAAGAGATTTATCCCGCCGAACTGACTTTAAATAAATATAATACTAACAATGAACACTGCCCTTTCCTGGATCTTGATATCTTTATCTTTAACGGGAAGCTTTATACCAAAATTTATGATAAAAGAGATGATTTTTCATTTCCTATTGTTAATTATCCATTTTTAGATGGTGACGTTCCTTTGTCGTCATCTTATGGTGTTTATATATCTCAACTTGTTCGATTCGCTCGTGTATGTAAAAACGTATTTGATTTCAACGAAAGAAATCTCTGTATTACTGAAAAATTATTACACCAGGGTTTTCGATATCACAAACTAGTCAAAACATTTACTAAATTTTAGCATCGGTACAAGGACATCATTCGTAAATATAAATCAACATGCAGACATCTTATACGTTCATGTATTTCACATCAAATATTTTATGGTTATATTCTTTACGAAGCACCAAAATGTCGGCATTCACCTCAAAAGCTAACCAAACCTTTAAACAGACTTATTTGGAAAGGATATAGTTACGATACTGTTGTCAAGTCATTAAGGATTGCATAATTTGGTATTAATATTGATTCACTCATAGGATCTTTGCATCGGAAATAAACACATTAATTCTAAAACCAGTTGCTGGCATGATACGGGTTTTGTTCTTCTCATATATTTTATGATGGTATGATACTTAACCCCTTACGGGAGGGATTGTACTTGATTTTCATATGATGAAGACATAATCTTTCAATCAGTTTAATTGAGGAATGGAGCTGTCATGTCAGTAACTGCTAGCAGTCCTTTGTTCATTTATGTATCATTGTCATTTTGCTTAGTTTCTTTGTTACCTATTCTGACATCGGACTCGGACTTCTTTTAAACTGAGTTTTACTGTGCGTATTGCTATGTGTTTCTTTATTCTACATTGGCTAGAGGTATAGGGGAGGGTTGAGATCTCACAAAACATTTTTTAACCCCGCCGCATTTTTGCGCTTGTCCCAAGTCAGGGGCCTCTGGCCTTTGTTAGTCTTGTATGTTTTTTAATTTTAGTTCATTTATATGTTTTGGAGTTTAGTGTGACGTCCATTTTCACTGAACTAGTACACAATTTTATTTAGGGGTTAGCTGAGGACCACCTCCGGGTACGGGATTTTCTCGCTGTATTGAAGACCCATTGGTGGCCTTCGGCTGTTGTCAGCTCTTTGGTCGGGTTGTTGTCTCTTTGACATATTTCCCTTTTCCATTCTCAATTTTATTAGTTCACAAGCAGACTATCAACAGAAAATATTTTCCTCCAATAATGATTGAATACCACAGATTGTATTCTTCAAAGATAGTAACTATGTTCAATGAAGAATATATCCAATCCATAAGGTAAAAGCACAGAATAATATAAACAAACTGGAATGATTTCTGTTCTCTGTCTCTCTTTATATACTGGCCAAAACAACATGTTCTAGAATTATTATTTTAGATAATCTTGAAAGTTCTAATGTGATGTAAATAAAATCTTTTTATAAACTTCTGCATCTTTTCCATTGTTCATAATAATATTTTGTCAACAGTACCTTATATCTGTCATGTAGCCAATTTACATTTAATGACATTAAGGTGTAATTTAAGATATAGCAGGCGCGTCAATTCATTAAGCCCCTTCCTATCAGTATCTGTAGAGAAATCAAAATAAGGTTATGAATTTCAAATTTGCATCAAGAAGCGTATTTCCGCGTTTATTTTGTGTCAATAGTATTTCTATCATAACACAATCCATCTCTCCTTCCACTCATGGTTATATAAATATTTTGGTACAAAAAGTAGACAACTATCTCCAATCTCCATTTTTATGTCGTTCCATCTGTGCGTTTCTTTTCATATAGTCTGCGAATTTTCAAAGAGAAATTAATATAGAATGGTTGTGGAAACCGTTATATTTCACAGCCGAAAATAGTGATATTTGCATTTTTTCCCTACAACTTCATACTTATAACAAATAACTAAACAGAAGTACGTTCTTTTTAGTCGTCTTCCGGTGGTACATTCCCATATTGGAAATCGGAAATGAACCTGTCGAAATTTTTTTTTGTCTGTGGTAGTTTTTGGTAGTTTTTCTGGGACACAGCTTATATGCCGAAGGAACATTCCAGTTTTGATGCCTCTTTATCAACATATTGCATTTTCTATCATGTCAATATGGTAGTGATTTGATTGGCTGCCAAAACAGTCAATGATAGCACTTGTCAAATGCAAAATTATAAGGATTCATTCAAACTACCAGTCCATGACAATATTATCGTTTGCGAAAATGGTTATGTGCATTCGATATATCCGTTTTGATAGAACTTGTAAATGCAAAAATGGCAAGGCGTGGTTGATCTGTCGAGTAAAAAAAAATCAAAATGCATGTTTGGTATGATTTGTCAATTTAAAAAAATGGAAGAATGGATTCTTATATGAATGAAAGATTTCGATAAGTAAAAAAAATGCACCGTACCTTCCCCCTAGTCTATGATGGAGTTTTGAAAGGTGGTCGTCTTTTTGATATTTTTATAGTTTGGATTGGTGTCTCATTGGTGTTTACCCAAGTTTCTTTTTAGCCATAAACATCAAATAACATCAATTTGCCTTACCAATAAAAATGGCAGCTGTGAATTTTGACTTTCCTACTTTCTGTGGAAATACCTTTTGATTTTGTTCTTCTGTTTTCTTCCACCATTTTTTTCTCTCTCTGAAATTTCACTTTTATTTTGCAACATGTCGATAAGATATTTGGTATATGATATCGGACAATTATTTCGCTTTTGAAACTCAACCTATTTAAGCACTTACTTTTCGATATGGGAGTAACAACATGTTTTTCTTGTTATCTGTTCTCCTCAGAAATCGGGAAAGATATCGCCAAAAGATTTTTCCTAGATGATCGTTACTTCCTTAGGATGATCAGTTAAATTTAGACAGAAGGGTCTGTAATAGAGTTATTTCCCTTTTCGTGTTTGGTATGAGTGATATGTTTGTGTAATTAACCACAAGTCGAAGAGACATAGATGGACTGGGATTTTCCCGCCATTTTTTTCTTTCGTTAAACCTCGGTTGTGTAGGTAAAGCATATCTTTCTCGGGTAATCAGAAAATCGGCCATATTTCAGAGGAAAGCTTGATAAACGCAGGATATCCAATTACATTTACAATGGTGTAATAATAGATACAACAGTTTTGAATATTTAGTGAACTTATATTATGGGGAGTTAAGATTCCAAAGAAAGGCGTATTTACAAGTCCGTCCTCTTTTATTGTAAATATTGTTTGTTTTAAAGCATCTCTGCTTAAATGTTTTAAACTTATTCATTTTGATTATGATCAGTAAGCCTTGACTTATGATACATTGTTTTTGTGTGTTTTTGTGCCGTTCTCCCGGTATACATAGCTGCAGGCGATTGTACACTTTGTTATTTAAGTGTTTATTTATAACATTGGATGTACAATAAAACATCTTATACATTAATCATTGTATCACAAAATATATTTTGTTTTTCAAAATTTTTAAAGTCCGAAGGATACGATCGTGCAGCGCTGCATACTTGAAGAGCGTGTCATGTATAAGAATAAATTTCATTATATTTTCTCTTAAATTATATATGTTTTTGTTAACCAGAGTTCCAGTGTATAGTTTTGACCAACGAGACAGCTGTAGCGGTTCAGATTAACATTTTTTAAACTAAATTTTCAAAATGGCATGATCTGTTGTAAAAATGAAAAACAACACATTATAAATTCCATGCGTCCGAAGCAACTTTCTTGATTTACTTCACCAGGAACGCCAACAGCCAAGTATTTG